TTCCTGTGGAAATCCACGTGAGAAAATGAATGTGTGAGAAAAATAGAAAAGAAAGAGAGAGAGAGAGAGAGAAAGAGAGAGAGAGAGAAAGGAAGAGAGAGAACAAATGAAAGGTGAGTTTGAGAAAGTCAGAATGAACGATGGAAATGACAAAAGATAGACAGAGGAAAAGACTGAGATCGATAAAAAAGAGTTGGAGGTAGAGAAAGATGGAGAGAGAATAAGAGATAAAGAGAGAGAGAGAGAGAGGGAAAGAGAGAGAGAGAGAGAGAGAGAAAGAGAGAGAGAGGAAGCGAGAACAAGGCAGGCTGAAACCATTTTTTACTGGTAGACAAACTCATGCCTAATTCAGCGAGAGACATATCTTCTTCATCATCGTAATCACCAATAAAAATTTAAATAACTAGTAAAAATATGATAATAATATAAATAATTATATTTATTATTATTGTAATTATTTATAGTAAAAATAATTTGGAGTAATGATTTCGGTTCGCATCAATATTGTTATTTACGGCGTTTTTAATAATTAAACAGCTATACATACCTATTGCAGCGTACATATGCACACATACACACAAACACACATACACACATACATACATACACACATACATACAGGTACATTAATACAAGCACACACACATACATACAACGTATACAAATACAAATGTACAATAATTACAGATATACACACATACTAAAACATACAATTGTTGCAAAAACGGATGCATAATTGCCTATATATATATTTCAATTTTTTACATTATACACCTTCTTTTAAAAATTTGTTTGTTCTTCAGTTGGGGGAACATCAACAACCACATCATCATCATCAACAACATCAACAACAACAACATCATCAACAACAACATCAACAACATCAACAGCATCAACAACAACAACAACAACAACAACATCACAACATCATATAAATAATTACTCTGGGAACCCTACACTTGTTCATTTACGTAACGTAATTATTGTCCTACGCGTCCACATCATCATCATCATCATCGTCGTCGTCATCGTCCTGAGTTTGGTGATCATCATCATCATCGTCGTCGTATCTGAAATCGTTTTCATCATCATGACAATCACCACCATCATCAACATCATTATCACCACCATTATCAACATCATCATCACCATCATCGTCATCATCGTCATCAAGACCTCCTCCAATTAAACTTCAAAATCCTGATAAAAGTTTTTTTGAACTGTTGGTTGGCCATGGCATAGCAGAAGGGATTAATTGGACTGTTGAGATAGCAGAGCCAATAGGAGATGCTGTACATCAAACCGCTTATATAATCCGGCAGATGGTCACCATAGAATCCGATGATTAGGGAAAGAATATGCCATGGGGTCCAGCAGATTACGAAGGCGCCTAATATAACCGTTATGGTTCTGAGAGCTTTTCTCGCCCTGTTTTCATTTTTGTTTATAGTTCTTTGTTTTTGTTTGTTGCTGCTGCTGGTTTGCTTGTTGTTGTTGCTGTTGCGATTTTTTGCCGATAAGAAAGATTTTTTAAGCGATGAGATGCTGAAGTTGTTGCTGTTGTGTTTGTTTTGTTGGTGAGTTTTTTCCGATGTGGATCGCTTGTATTGTTGATGTTGTTGCTGTTGTTGTTTGCTGTTGGTTGATGTTTCCACCGTTGAAAAGTATCGCTTTATGCCTGTGATTGTTTTATTGAATTTGTTGTTGTTGATGCTGCATTTTTTTGAACGGTCTATATCGAAGTCGTTTTTGCTGTTCTTAATGTTGTTGGAGGTTACAATAATGTTAGCGTTGTTGCGGCCGTTGTTGATGTTTTTGTTGTTGTTATTATTGTTGTTGTCATTATTGTTGTTGTCTGATGTTTGTTTAGAGAATCTTTTACGATAAGACTGGGGACTGGGAAAAGAAAATGGATCGTCGTTGTCGTACTGTTGTTGTTGCTGCTGCTGCTGTTGTTGTTGCTGCTGCTGCTGTTGTAGTTGTTGTGGTTGCTGCTGCTGCTGTTGTAGTTGTTGTGGTTGCTGCTGCTGTTGTAGTTGTTGTGGTTGCTGCTGCTGTTGTAGTTGTTGTGGTTGCTGCTGTTGTTGTTGCTGCTGATGTTGTTGTGGTTGTTGTGGAGGAAAACTGTTATCGATGTATATGGCGTCAATTATTATATTGCACTTTTTAACGGTTTTGTCTGTTGTTGTATTTATTGCATCATTAGTTTTGAAATTCAAGATGTTGTTGTTGTTGCTGTTGTTGTTGATGTTGTCGTTATTGTTGCTGTTATTGTTGATGTTGTTGTCGCTGTCGTTGTTGTTGTAGCTGTTGTAGCTGTTGTTGTTATTGTTGATGTTGTTGTCAAGCTCTTGAAAATTTGACAAGTCACTTGCCGTATAATCATCATCACTGTTGTTAATAATTCTGATATGTTTATTATTATCACTGTTGTTATTATTATTATTATTTTCATCACATATTTTATCACGAAGACTATCATTACCATTGTTAACTCTAACAACAACAACGTCATCTCTATCAGCACTATCAGTATTATTGTTATTGTTGTTGCTGTTGTATTTTTTATTGTTTCCGTTCGTTTTATCAACACAATCATTAGCGGAATGAATAACCGGTGATGATGATGATTGTTGTTGTTGTTGTTGCTGTAAGGGTAATAGTTGTTGAAGTTGTTGTTGCTGTGGTAGTAGTTGTTGTTGTTGTTGTTGATGTAATGGTAGTAGTTGTAGTTGTTGTTGAGGCTGTTGTTGATGCAATGGTAGTTGGTGAGGTTGTTGTTTGCCGCCAATGTTCGTCTTATTAGCGATGGGTTTCCTGATGACGTCATCGTCTGTTGATGATGACGTCGACATGACCGTCGACAGATTCGATTTCTGCGTGCAGTAGTTATTATTATCATAATTCTCCACCACAATCTTCTGACCGAGGGTCAAGCTGATGGACGGGCGATGTGCCATGTTCATGCCGATGTTCGTAATCGTCTGTCCAGCCACTGAAACAATGCTCGTCATCTTTTTATATTTCTGCTCCGATTTTGCGGCCATCCTCAGGGCGACCCGGTATATACCGGCGTACAAGATGCACATTATTATGAGCGTAATCCAGAAGTATCCGACTTGGAGACCGCAGTTGAATAGCGCACTCTCCATGTATTGAACGTAACATTTCTTCTCACCAACCGTCCTCTCGCCGACAAAATACTGCCAGCCAAATATTGATATAAAAAATACTAGAGACGGTAATAGCCAAGTAACCGCTATCATCAGCAGCACCTTCCTTTCGGTCCGCCAGCCTCGGTATTTGGCCGGTATGGTTACCGAACAGAACCGATCTATGGTGATACAAAAAACGGTATATATCGATGCGAGACAAACGGTATAATCTATGGAAAGCCACAAATCGCACATATTCGGACCGAGAACCCAGCTCTCGCCGGCCAGAAGGTACTGCGTATAAAATGGCATCGATACCGAACCGATTATTAAATCGCTAACCGCCAGAGATGCTATGAAATAATTCGTCGGTTGTCGAATAGTTCGATCGATTATGAAGGAGAGAATGACAATTATATTACCGAGAACCGTAATTAAACTCGTGCAAGTTGCTAACGAGCCTAGAAGGATCATCTGCCAGAGAGGAAGGACCTGTAGCGAGGAGTTTGATGTTGACGACGACAAGTTGTTACTGCTGCTGTTGAACATGCAAGCCGCGTACGACGACTCGTTCAAATGTGTTGGACTGCTGTTGTACGTGTTGTTCGAGAACTGATTTCGAATGCTGTAGTAACATGGATTGAACGTTGTTGTTGTCGTTAGTGAGAAGTTGAAGAAGTTGTAGTTGTTGTAGTAGTTGTAGTTGCTGTCGAGGTCGGAGCCAACTTCACCGCGGTCAAACAACGACAAATTCATCTCATTGAAGTAATCGTAAAAAAATTCTCGCAAGTTTTTCAGACTGCCACCACCACCATCATCATCGTCATCATCATTATTATCATTATTATTATTGTTGTTGTTGTTTTTATTATTGAAATCATTATCATTTTTTTCTAGATCATCATCAGCACTGCCTTCGTACGAGTAACTCATTTTATTTTGCATCATGACCATTTTTTGTTTCTCTTCGCTCGTTATATAAACTCTGAAAATAATTGAAAAGTGTGAATAATGACTGTGTGTGCGTGTGCGTGAGTAAATGTTTGTACGTGAGTGTGTGTATGAGAGAGAGAGAGAGAGAGAGAGAGAGAGAGAGAGAGAGAGAGAAAGAGAGAAAGTTTGTGTGTTGTGTGTGTGTAAAATTATTGGTTATATTCAAATCTGCTACTATCAATGTTTATAAATACCCACGAAACACATATATTCGAACCCTCAGACGTATGAACAACAAACGATTAAACGAACGAACAACAAAAGAAAAAACAAATGAACAAACAAACAAGCAAACGAACGAACGAACAAACGAACGAACAAAAAAAGGAGCAAACGAACAAAGAGATAGAGCATTGAATGAAAATATGAATGAATGAAATAAAAACCAATGAACTTACAAATAAATGAACGAACGAACGAATGAATGAATGAACGAACGAATGAATTAATGAATAAATAAAATAATTCATAAATGAATGAGCGAACGAATGAATGAATGAACAAATGAAAAAACTGGAAATAAAGTTTTTCCATGTGTTATTCCAAGAATTGAATGGAATATTTTTAATGAGAAAAAGGAAATGTGTAATTATATGGAAAGTTTCAGCTGTTGAAAGTAATGATGAAAGTAATTGTAACCATAATAATAATAATAATAATAATAATAATAATAATAATAATAATAATAATAATAATAATAATAATAATAATAATGTGAACTCTCTTTTATTTCTATAAAAATATGAAATATAGTAAAATGAGATAAAAGTCTAATTAAAATCTAATAAAATAAAATAAAATAGATAAATTGATTTAAATTAAATTAAATACAATAGTATTCTACGATGCTCATCATTTGAAATAAACGAGTACAACGAGATATGATTAGTTTTAAACGAACAGTTCAATTTTTATTGCGTTCACAGTAGATGGCATAAGATGATGGTATTACAGAGTTAATAAGGTTATTATAAAATTGATCTGACCAAATGTTATTGATTAATGATAAATTTAAAAAATTGCAAAAGCCCAATGTTGAAATTTCAAAAGTATTAACTATTATTTTCAGGTGTATTGAATTGTCATGCAAATTATTTTTGAGATTTTTTGAGTATTTGATGGTTTTATATTTTTTTGAGTTGAGTAGGTTGGATTCATGGCAGACCGTCAGCTCTAATATTTCTATTGTGATGTCACGAAGTATTGCGATGTCAGGACGTAGGGATTTGAAGAGACAAGACACTGGAGGGATCCCATCATAGTCCACATCTGCATATATCGAAACCTCTGGACCCGCGCATGCTTTCAACCTTTCTATAATTATGTTTAAAATTTTGTTGTGACGCATTGTGAATCTTTTTAGTGCTGCCACCGAATTGCAATTAGACAGAACATGTTTGTTTGTTTGCCGCGCTTTGCACAATGGACAGTCAGCCGTTGATGATTTGCCCCATCTGAACAAATTTGCGTTTGTGGGGAGTTGTTGGATGAGACTTCTCCTAACAAATTTGAACAGTACTTCTGGGAGGTTTGCAGTGAATTTCGACCAGTGAGCAATTCTAGCTGCGGGAATCTGGTCTTTGATCACTTTTAAAATTGTCCCTTGGCAACGGAGTAGCGATAGATGTTAGAGTTCTGCATTTTGTTGTTTGATCGTTAACATGCTGAGTGCCTGTTTTATGTCTTTTGAGTCGGGAAGCAAATTGTCGATTTTTATATAATTGCTATAGGACTCGCTCCATAAACATTTAAGTTCTTTGTTGCCGTTTCATTTCAGGTAGCTACGGAGTTTTAATCTCAAAGATTCGTCAAAATTTTTGAGAGGTCTAACGTTTAGGCTGCCTAGTTTATATGGGAGCGACAATGTCTCCGACAGACAGCTACTACTATTACTACTTCTAATAATAATAATCTTAGTTAATGATGATAATAATAATAATAACAATAATCAATTTTTTTAAAAATTGAAAAAAGTTCTTTC